TTGTTGATTCTAGGGATCTTTCTAACCCCAGCTTCCTGACTCCAATCTTTCTGACAAGATTATCACACTTGCATTGCTGCAGACCTGGTTTCTGTTTGGGTGGTGGTGGTTCTGCCTTTAAAATCCTTTGGGGAAATATATTCTGCCTTTTTAATATTTCCCAAAATATTTCTTTCTCTGGATTCTTCCCACAGTGGCATTTATTTTATTTAGTGGACTTACACCCAATCTTTTGTTCGCTTTATTTATTTATTTCTTCTTCTCCTCACAAAAACACTAGGCAGGTAGTAGAAAGAGCAGTCTCCCATGGGTTGGAAGCTAGCTCTCTTTGTTCCTAGTCTAGCACTTCAGCCACTACATAAATTGGCTTTTAAAATACCTTTTGCTAAATAACTTGTTTTTTCTGTGACATTAAAAAAAACAGGTTTACTGTAAATAGATTGTTCAGTGTTTTTCTTTGCCAAACTAGTCACATTGGGTTGATCTCAGTGACTGGTATCTACATGGTTATGTTCATGTGCCCAACTTATTAGGATTTCCTGGTGGTTTCCTATCCAAATATTAATTAGGTCCTATAGATTGTTTAACTATACTACGCTGCTTTCTCACTTTTTCACCAATAAACTTTTGTTTAGGGACTCAGCAGCTTACATCTGCTTATCCTCTTTTTAATCATTTATATTGTATTATATAAGTCATGCCTTACAATTTGCATGCAAGTCACATTGCAGTTCTGTGTAGTTCTGCGTAGATTGGAAGATCATTCAATAAAATTCAGTGAGACTTCCATGTGTGTGACACCTGCTTCTGCCCTATTATCTGGAAATTCATGTGAAAATTGAGTGAAAAGTAATGACCATTAATCCAAATGTTGTATCTTTAAATATGGCAGAAAAGTTAGGAACTTATCTGTTTTCCTCATCTTCAAAGCATAATAGCTTGCAAATGACATCATGAATGAGAAGAGAAAATGAATGTGTGGAGAGATGTTGTGTATGTGTATACACACAGAGAGAGGAGGGGAGGGGGGAGATGGGCAAAAAAATGTAACTGATAATTATCATCACTCTTCTAGGTAGACTCTTATGGTAGATGCCTGAACAACCGAAAACTTCCCAATATGAGATTGATGGACACTTCTACAGCCACTACAGAAGACTCTGAATTCATGATTTTTATTTCTAAATACAAATTTCATCTGGCTATGGAGAATGCCATATGTCCTGATTATATGACAGAGAAACTTTGGAGGCCAATGCATGTAGGGGCTATCCCTGTATATCGAGGTTCACCATCTGTACGAGACTGGATGCCCGATGATCATTCCATTATTCTTATTGATGACTTTGGAAGCCCTAAAGAACTTGCAGAATACATTGATTTCTTGGACAGGAACTCAGATGAATATTTGAAATATCTCAACTACAAGAGTCCAGGTGGCATTACAAACCAGTTCTTGCTCGAGAACATGCGGAAGCGTGAATGGGGAGTAAATGACATGTCCCTACCTAATTATTTAAATGGATTTGAGTGCTTCATCTGTGACCAAGAAAATGCAAGACTTAATGCGGAGAGGGACCACAAAAAAACTCATGGGAAATCACGAGCTCCAGAAGTTCACATAGCACAGACTACACACATGGGGTGTTCTTTACCAGCACCCGGCTATGGCAATATTGAAGACATTCCTGATGGAGACAGGTAGCTATATTTATTATTAAGGATATAAAGTGCATTCAGGGTTGTGATTAAATTTTATTTTTGAGTTACTAAACTATAGAATGCATTCTTACGTAGCTAGTGACAAAATTGCAGCATATAAGTGAAATTGGACTGGAAAGACTTGACATGATTATATTATTGAATACATTGTACTCTAAAGCTATTTTAGTACAATCTAGTATTACACTGAATGGCTAGATTTAAATTAAGTTTAAAATACAATTATGTAATTAACATTCTCACTATATCCCACTATAAAAAGTAAGCTTAAGGAATTCTCTCAATGCAGACATCACAACATAATATTGCAGAATATATAAACTATAGAATGCCAGCTTTTGAACCAATATCAGTTTTTGTGCTTTTAATAGAAGAATATGAAGCACTTAACAGGCTACAACATTTGTCTCTCATATGGCAGCATCCACCAGTTAAAACAAGAGTTCTCAAGCTATGCAATATCATGACCACCCCTAAAACAATAACATGCAATCTGTGTGACACACAACCCTTGAATAAAAATAATTTCATTGGGGCATTAGGCAAGGAAAAAATATACCACTTTTAATAATTACATTTAAGCTATATATCAAAAGAAAACAAACCTTACGGTATTATCATATGAAATTAATGATAAGCAAAAAGCCCTAATAAAATTTAAAACTGCAAATTTAATGGGAGGGACGATTTCATTTACTTTTGCATAATTACTGAAAAGTGAATTTTCATTTTGAAAGCAGCTTGTCTCATCAATAAAGTCAGGAAAGCAAAGAGGAGGGGTGTTTCCTTGCCTTAAATCTACTTCTCCTAAAATGTTACAGCTTGCAAAACATTGGCAGGCGATTAGATGCATAGTACAGTACAGGCAACATAACAATAAATATGTAGGATGACAAAAAGTACTATATAATTATCATATTTAGTCTTACTGATCTTTACAGTCTGCAAAAATGATTGGGATCACGCCTACAACTGTAATAGCTTATTGGTCATCCCTGATCCAAATATATATATTAAAGTTGTTTCCAGGTTTTCCTTTCAACGAGGTTATTAATTTCTGTAGCTAATACGTGGTTTAACTAACTTTAGAAATAAATATTCTGTGGAGTTCCAGATCAATACCAAAATGTTTGCCCAAAGTCTTGGCAAGTGAGTAATGTCCTACTTTCATTTTTATCTTCCCACTTATTTGCAAAATAATGCTTTATTCTGACCATACAGTCACTCTCTTATGACAAAAAAAGATTTAAAGAATATTTTTGTTCTGTGTGTTTCAGCTGGAAAGAAATGTGGCTTCAAGATTACTGGCAGAGTCTTGATCAAGGGGAAGCTCTCACAGCTATGATTCACCATAATGAATCTCATCAAGGGAAGTTTTGGGATTATATGCACAAAATCTTCTTGAAAAGAACTCAGCATTAACTAACCAATTAGGATTCTTTCATGTTATATGAACAATCGGCAGAAAATGTACTCTTACCAACTTGCCTTACATGACAACTGAATGTGTTAATCAGGCACAGATACTACACACACCATTCCGGAAAAAGACAATAACATTTTTGCTGAAATATTTTAATCGATTAGAATTGAATCAATTGTTTTTATAAAATATTTTTGTTAAAAGAGTGACTACCGCTGCAATTCGTTATATACTATTTTTCTGTGAATAAAAATTCTTCGTACCTACTGAGAATTGAAAGTACAATGGTGCACTAATGGTTAAGGTGATGTTCTGGGACCACGGAGAATTAGGATCAAGTCAACCCTTAATGGTGGAAATCAGTTTGCTGACTTTGGATCAGTCCAATCTCTCAGCCCAGCCTACCTCACAGGACTGCTGTTACGGGAATAAATATGAAGGCAGATCCCCTGTAAGCTGCCTTGGGCCCCAGGAAGAAAGGTGGAATATAAATCAAATCTAAATATTATCGACTTTTGACAGCCTAATTACTTAAGATTAAGTAGAAATAAGTTCAAATTTTCAGCCTCCAAATTATTCAAGGGAATGTATATGGTTAAACTGGGGAACCTGAGAGAAACCTGCTTGCATGACCATGTAGAGAACTATTTTAACTTGAAATGCTGTGAATGTATTATTCTGACGGTTCATTGCTATTAGGCAACCAGTATGCTTTGCGCATTTTTAAAGAGGTAAACATTTATTTATTTAAAGAGCTTTAATAAGATAGTGCCCAGAGAGGAAAATGGCGCTTAACAAAAGAGGATGAGGAAGGAGAGGCAAAAGAGTGTTAAAAAAATGATTCAGAAATGGGCTGAAACAGAACTATTAGAATATGAGAGAGAGAGAGAGAGAGAGAGTGAGAGTGTGAGTGAGTGAGAGTGAGTATACAATTTGGTCCCCCACTCATTCTGGCAGAATAGAATAGAATAGAAATTTACACAGCTGTTACAGCATCTAGTAGTTCTGCTATAAATACTTCGAAACCTCCTCCCAGAGGGGAGCAACAGAAATGGACCATGAAATAGGTGTGTGGGGTCTCTAACAATGCTTTGAGCTCTAAGCACATAGCGCTTATAAGCAGT